CCCCCCGTTCCCGTGACGCTGAAGGGCACGCGCAGGCCGCCCCTCCCCCCCCGCGCAGTGCGGCTGGATTCCTGCCTGCGGCGCTCGGGAGCGCGCTGGGGCCCCGGTCCCGGTCGGCGGCCTGGGGCTGCCTCCCGGCTCAGCAGCGTTAGCCCGCCCCGAGTCCCGTGCCCGGGCGGTGGGGGGGCTGGCTCGGCTGAGGCTCGCGGAGCCGCAATGCAGCGGGAGGACGGACGGCTCCGCGCTGCGCCCCAGTCCCCTGGGAACACGCTGCCTCTGAGTCACCGTCACGAGACCCACTCCTGTCCCCTGAGCCCCAGCAGCGCTTGTGACCCGTGTTCATTCCTTTGAGACGCGAGATCCGTGCTGTGCTTCACCCCCGTCCTCCAGCGTATCCACCCTGATCGGCGGCTTTGTGCCCACTGCAGTGCTTGAACCGCTCATACCAGTGCGAACAATGGGATCTTTGACCTGTGTGTCACTTAACCTGCAGCAAGCCCTGCCCAATACTGCTGTCAAGGGGTGGGTGTGTGTGTGGGTGGGGGGGGCTCTTGGGTAAAGAAGTGGGGTGTCGTGTATGGTTCTAGACGGTCGAACCTCTTCCATTTTTGGTAGGAGTAGGTCGTATCTTTGATCACGATCAGGTGGGAAGCCAGGAAGAGTGAGTGAAGGTCACTGTCTGAAGAGAGGCTTTGTTAGTAGCGGAACAGCCTCTCTTGGATGTGTGGCTGCTGCTGCCTTTCCCTGGCGTGCTGCGTGTCTGACTTCTGTGCTCACAGACTGGGATGAGATCCCTTCATTGGGAAACTGATCTTGACCCTTGGCTGTCTTGCAGTGTACCCAGGCGGATGACTGGCAATCTGCCAAATCAATATATGAATTCCATGCCAAAGACATTGATGGCGATGATGTGTCCCTGGAAAAGTACAAGTAAGTGGTGGGGAGCCTAGGCGCTGTGAGCTTGGCTGGCTCAGCGAGGTACCCAAAGCACAAGCCTTGTGGCTAGCCTGTAGATAAGCTATTAATACTTCAGTCTCCTCTAATCTTGTCTAAACAACAACAAAAACTGTTAATATTCCCAGCCCAGGGAGGAGTGCTGGTGCGAGAGCAGCACATCCAGGCCCTGGGGAGGAGGAGTGCCCCAAAGGGACTACACTAGGCAGGGGCAGCTTGGCTCCAGATGGACAGGCTCTGCCTGACTACGGGGTGGGGTTCAGAAGGTCTGTGACTTGCACCAGATGGGAGGTGTGGAGAACTCTGACTCGCATCTGATGCAAATGAGTCCAGGAAAGGGGTGCATGTGAGGAGCCAGTTAGCAGGTTCCATCCAACAGGGAAGAAAAGCAACGCCCATCCTGTAGGGAGGGTCCTTGCTGCAGATATGATGTCTGTCTTTGTGGGGTAGATCAGCTCCAGCCCTTTAGCGGTCAGTGACTCTGTTTCTTTCCCAGGGGGAACGTCTGCATCATCACCAATGTAGCATCCAAATGAGGAAAAACTGACGTAAACTACACTCAGCTTGTCGATATGTACGCCAGATATGCTGAGCGGGGTTTACGCATCCTGGGCTTCCCCTGCAACCAGTTTGGAAACCAGGTGGGTGGCACCTCTGCCTGCTAAGGAAAGGGGGTTCCTCTAGGGGGGGGAAAAGCAGTTTTTTCCCTAGCAAAGGGGGCTGGCTTGGCAGCCCTAGAGACTGAAGGATCCCTGTAGTTAGCATGGGCTTGGCAAGTATTCCCAGCGTATAGTGCCTTTAAGTACTACCATCAGATAAACAGCTAATTACACAGCCTCCCTAGCATATGAGTGGGAGTACAGTTTAGTCTTTGGCCCATTCACACTTTGATGTCTCTGCCAAAAATCGGTCATGGTGACTGGTGATGTGCACACTTTGGTCTTAAAGAATTAGGCTATTTGCCATCAAGCTGGAGTAGTGCACCCAGTCTTCAGCTGGGCTGCCTGAGGCACAAGGAGGCTGTGGGTGACTCAGTGTGCATTAGAACATGAATGCCTGGCAGAGCTACACTTCCAGGTGGACCATGTGGCTCCAGTCATCTCCTGAGCCCAGTTGTATTCAAGTAACCATGCTCCCTGCCAGCTATGTCCCAGCAATGAGTGGGATATTCTAGAAGCAAGCTGCTCACGCCTCCTTCGTCGCCCAGCCCACCCAACTTCATTCCCTCAATGTACACACATCCTGCCCTCCGAATCTGAGCCTGGAACTGTGTGTAATCCAAATGGAATGAGGTTCTGGGTAGTCAGTCATAGCCTAATGATGCAAGACTACTCACTTCCCACAGTAACCCTTCTCTTTGCTTCTTAGGAGCCTGGGGATGAGTCTCAGATCAAACAATTTGTTGCAAGCTATGGGGTGAAGTTTGACATGTATAGCAAGATAGAGGTCAACGGGAACAACGCCCATCCTCTCTGGAAATGGATGAAAGATCAGCCCAAAGGAAGAGGCACCCTGGGAAAGTGAGTGCAGACCCAGAGCAGTAACAGACGCAGAAGGAAGTGGTAGCATTAGAGAAACCGCTTGGCCCCATTTGTGTCATTGGAGGGGGGGAGCAAGTCAATCCTGGGCTGAAACCAAAAGAGGAGACTTAAGCCTGCACAACTGGCAGCGGGGCGACACTGGACTGGAGAGGAAGGGGCTGTGGGGTGGATGGCTTGGAAAGCTGCATGGTCATAGAGCAGTCCCCACCTTGGGCCTGTTGGAAGTAGTGGCAGAGCAGGCTGTTGGGTTAGGTGTGGGGCTGCGGTCGGTGGGTGGGCACTCCTATCCGCGCTGGGACTGGTTTATAACTGCTGCTGTCTCACTGGTGTTCTCTCTCCTTCCTAGTGCAATAAAATGGAACTTCACAAAGGTAGGACTCTGCTCTCTTCTCACTGGGGGTTTTAGCATCTAAAATGGCCTGACCATTTGTGGTGTGATCCTGTAAGATCCCAGGAGCTCAGCAAGGTTGGGTGGGAGGCTCCAAGAAACACTTCTCTGCTGGAAGAGGTGTTGGAGGCAGGGGCTGGGGAGCCTAGTAAGATTACTCCTCCTGAGCAGGCATTGACCCACAGGCCCTGACCTTGCATGTGGGTCCTAGATCCAACCCTTTAAGGGATAGGGGTGTCCAGACCAGACTCCAGCTTGGCTGACTACATCCCACCTCACTCCGTTTCAGTGGGATACATCAGTCTTCGCTTTGCGCATTGGATTGTTGTGTGGTGGTGAGGAACAGCGTGCCTCATGCCAGAGGTGGCTGCATTTCAGCATTTGGGGATGGAGGTCTGGTACATCATGAGCTCAGAAGATTTCAAAGCACTCGATCCCCCTGCAAAGGAGCTGCAGTTCTTATAAGTGACCCAGGGAGGGATAGTGGTTTACCAGGTGCCCCCAAGGCTGCGTCTCCACCCATGGCCTCCCTGCTGCCCAGGGGAGTTAGCCATAATAGAACCTGGCCTTGACGCTCATTTCCTGTAGTGTTCTGTGCGTGACTCAAGTGTTGGGTTCCAGTGGGGCAGAGCACTCATGTGGGTCCAGGATTATTCATGCTTGTCTCTTATCTCCACAGTTCCTCATTAACAAGGAGGGCCATGTGGTGAAGAGATACAGCCCAATGGATGATCCATATGTAAGTCAGCCTGTCTGTGTGTCACAAAGCCGTAACCTTGGGGGCCAGCTCTGCCGGAACTGAACAGCCAAGCCGTGTGTCACAAAGCAGAGCTTTAATAGTGGGTCCAAACTTGGGGGTGGAAGGGAAAGAAGATACTTTGCCAATAACTTCCTGCACTGCCCTTGCTATTAGTCATGTACTGAGACTTGGGTAATGCAGCATCGTGGCTCTGTGGCTGAGGTCCTTGTTTCTCCCCAGCCTGCAGTGAACACACAGAAAGAGCTGCTGGGTTTCCTTCCACTCTACGGGCTACCAACACTTAAGCTGCCCTTTCACCCTGTACTGGGTGGGGAGGTCTCTCGGCAGG